CCGACGACGAACTTGAACAAGGCAACTTCCGCTCGCCGTCTCATTCGCGTCCGGCCGTTTCTGACGCGACGATAATTTTGTCAATTCCGTCAATCCGAGCGCGCCGCTGCACCGCGGACGATTTTCCCTACGGATTGTTCGAATATAAGTGGAGATTCGCGTGGGGAGGAGAGCCAGCCGGCCGACCGACCGACCGACCGACCGGTGGTGGCCCAAATAGATTGCTGACGAGTGCTGATTGTCTCAATGTCGGCTAATAGCCAGAATGACTGGAAAGATGCGTGCAGCAAAACGCACGGTACGAGCGAAACGCGTCGTCTCCAAGTTCTCTGGACTCTCGCACATCCGTCTCTTTTAATAGATTATACATTCTTTGATTTTTCCTAGATCCACCTCCTATGTTCTATTCCGGGACTTGCATTTTACTCTATCTGCGTATCTCGGGTCTTTGAACCATATTTGACATACGTCACAGCGCCGCCATTTCAATTCTCTCTCTCTCTCTCTCTCTCTCTCTCTCTCTCTCTCGCTCTCTTCCTGAGAATCGAGTTGGAGCTCCGGGATCTTGGAAGCTTTTGAGGTCTGTCTGTGGTCTCTTTGCAACTCGCGAGAGATCCGTCTTTGAATCTTGAATACGCTTCTCAGATTTAGAGCGGAGCAGCTGAGATTATGCCGCTGCTTATTCATGAATCCCGACATTACACAGAGAATAATCCATCATCATCTGCCGATGTAGTAACGTGCGACACTCGTCCTACTATATCGTTGATGATTAATTAGTCCCGCGGCCTTGGCGATCGCCTGGTTCATCGTCGTCGGAGGCGCATCACCTCCAATCGTGTGCGAAACGATGGCATCGATCTAAGGAGAGACCTTGAGCCAATCGTTTATGCGTTCGTATCGCCGCGCACCCTCCAATAAATCAATCTTCGGCTTCCGCACGCTGGACTGGACAAGACTGATATGCGGACCAATCTCTTTTCGCCGGATTTGCAGAGATATTAAAATGGATTTTAACGTTATTGTTAACGTTGCAGAAAAATGAGAGTGCCGATTGTTACACGGAAAACAATGTTCCGGCTGTACCAACGAGAAGAAAACAAACGAATTTTGATCATACCAATCAGAATTCTGATTGTTGTAATTGAACGTTTGGTTATCCCGACTAAATTGTTTCATAGCTTTAACTATAAGTCTAGTTTGTACTTTTCTGATTGAATCTACCAGAATTCTAATTAATGCAACGAAACTTTTTCTTTTTTTCCAGCGTATGGTTATTTTATAACTAGGTTGAAAGCTGCAACAACAAGATATCTGTTTGAATGCGTAGATTTTTAGTACGCTGCAACGTTTGAGAATTATCGTTATCAAAATCGACGAGGAGTTTCCGCGGCTATCGCGGAAGCGCAGACGAGATTGTCGAAACGAGAACGGCGCTTAACCGCCACGACCGCATACAAACTATCTACTATCTAGTGCTAAGGATTAAAATGCGAATGAGTCGCGATGACGTAAGATCGTATTTTTAGCGATCCCATTTGTAGAGCGATGCTACGATCGGGGTTAATTATCTTTTGCGGTTCTCTCGTTAAGGACCACTTGCCACTATCGCGAGAGATCGCGACGAATTGTAACGAGAACGGAGCGCATCGTCTCGAAAAGTTTAATAACCGCATCAACTGGGATTCCGCGAATTCGACGTCGACGTCGCGTCGCGGCGCTTCTTCCTTTGTGCCGGCCTGTTGGTGCCTCGTAACGTAGATCGCGAGTTATCGGCAATGACGGGCCGCTTTAATAGAGATTGACGCTGGACTGGCTTTAATTAACGTCAGCGTGAAATCCAGCATAAAAAAGTCTTCGCTTCGCCGACTGCCTCGCGAGAACGAAGCCCGAATGCACATAATAAAAATAAAATCAAAGCGCATCGCTGTGAGAAGCTTATACGTTTCTCGGTTCGGTAATTTACATCGTTGTGATTCATCGATAATTAATTTATTGATTCAACTTGAAAAGTCGTTGATATTGCGAAATTATTAAACCCACAGTCTGGATCATATTTGTGAAGAAATATTTATCGATGTCGAAACAATCCGTGTCTAGTACCGCGAATCTACTTGTGCAATAATTAACTATTAAAGTTGTAACTAAGAGTGCTTGATGAAGCGTTCTCTTTCCTTTTTTTCAACAGAATGAAGCTATGCTGGAGTTTGGCCCTCGTGGCCGTCGCCTTGTTGATGATTCTTACGAATGCGCGAGCGGAAGCTGATCTGTGGGAGGAGGATGACAAGGAGGTGCTTGTACGGACAGTACGTGGTACTAAGGAACGAAGTGAGTGCTTCTTTCTGTAATTAATCCATTACCCCCCTTTCATCGTGACGTTGTTTTATCGAACGGTCGCGAATATAGACCGTCTATATATATATGTAACATACGTATATAAACGGCGTAATTAGAAGTCGTTCCCTGTCGACCTTAAAAGTCTCCCCCAGTCTCCCTCCTTCTCTCCCCCCCCCCCCCCCTCTCTCTTTCTCTTTCTCTATTCGCTTGATCGACGTTACGTCCAATTGTTTCTATTGACGTTTCGCATTTGCTGACGCAGCATCCGGCAGCTCCTCGTCGTGCAGATACGTAAAGGGTCAATGGTCGGAATGTGACTCAAATACCAACACGCGGTCGCGCACTCTGAGCCTCAAGAAGGGCGACAAGTCCTGCGAGCAGACCAAGACTATACAGAAGAAGTGTAAGAAAGGTGAGTCCGCGATTAATGCATCGTCGCAAGAAGCGAGTTCGGGAATGCATTTTAATTCGATCGTTGATCGCAGCATGCCGATACGAGAAAGGCACGTGGAGCGGATGCGCGAATCAGATGATGACGAGAATCGATAATTTGAAAGCGAACAGCGATACATCCTGCGAGAAGACGCGACGGCTCACCAAGAGGTGTAAACCAGAGACCAACACTAAGAAATCTGCCAAAGGTAATACCTCTCGTTCGGTCGATTGATTTGTCGTGGCAGCCCGTAGGGTGGAGAAAATTTAAGCAGCAAGCGCGAGCCCTTGTTTGTTTTTCTGTTTCCAGGTGATCGATCGAACAAGAAATCGGGCAAGCAGTAATTATCCGCCACACAATCTCCAATCATTTCTTCTAATCGGGCAACGAAAGCGCACTTTCATCTCTACGATCCCCCTACTTCTTTCGATCCCTTTTCCTATCGCTAATTAATTGCGAGGCAGAGCACAAATTTGAATCGATCGTCGATCGAAACGTTTATCATATATATACTGCCTAGGAATCATTTGTATTTTGGATGCAGACGCGTACCGCGTAACTGTAAACCGTTTTCAAAGTGCGCTGCAGCCGTCGATTAATTACTGTTAATAATTACGGGATACTGCATATATACGTTTCGGTGATCACATCTGTTCTCGGCAGTAACTCGGTTATTAACCCTTCCAAGGTTTCCTTGTGCTATTACATTACTATTAATTAGTAATAATTTATATAAGGTGTATGTTGCGCGTTAAATTTTGCGGTTTAAATATTTTGACAATTTAAACTTTCGAGTAAAAACATATTAGATTGGTTATACCTAATAATAGGTCCGAGTTTGTATGGAAAATATCATGTTCGTAAGCGTATGCCTGTCTCTTTCGAAGAGACTCTTCTATCTAACCCATTGACATAATTTGCAACGAGTTCCCCTGTTAGAGGAGTTATTGATCGCATAAACGTATTCTAAAAATGGACGATGGCGAGATCTTGGAGGGTTAAGCCGCGCAATCAACCGAAGAATTGATTGGGAACCGATACGTAACATGTTCGAGATGACGAAAGCTGAACAGGGCCGATCGTCTAGCTAGACATATAGTGATGCAGTTTGTGCATTGAATTTTCGCGAATTTGACACTCGCATTTCTCGATGCGACATTTTTTCATGACTTGTGAATTCGAATATTTAAAGACCTGTAAGGATTCAGGAGTTAGCTTTCTTAGCGTATTCTTGCAAAATCTGCACCACTGGTTGTTTGATTAATGAGCGTAGCACACATCGTAGAGCTCCCTGACAAGCAGCAGCCGCCATTTCGGAGGTTCGCAAAGGATAAGATCATCCGCCAAAGTTGTTCTCTCGTCTTCCCGCAGCGATATTATATTATTATTAATATTATTAATATTATTGTTTATCACACAAGAAGCAGCAGCGACCCCCATTTGGCTTAGCTGCTGATCCACTTAAAATCATGTACAATATTTGTCATACTAAACAGCTTTCATTCGATTGTCACATAAATATACAATGTTCGGTGTTCAAAGTAACTGTGTCCTGTATCATATAACATGCGCGAGATATTCCGACAATTATTACGCCGTCGCGAAGGTTCATCAGTTTAAACAAGGATGCTCGAGCGAGAAGCATCCGTCCTGTGTGGCATCTTCAAAACGGTCACGATGAATCAAAAATTATGAAATCAAAATGAACGAACGATCAAACGATACACATCAAAATGACATTTGTCGAGAGAATTAAAATAAAATGCGAAAAAATATACTGTATTATTTAGCACAGAATGTTCGCGCGAGCCTAATGAATTTATCCGGAATCCTCCGCGCTCCTCTCGGCAGGACGTCGTCACTTCCGATGTTAATATTCGCAATTAACGTTATAATAATATTGTATCAAGTGATAACTGGCAATTATGGAAACTCGCCAATGAGCATGAAAATCAAACTGAAATAACTCGTCGTCTCGTCAAACATGCACGCTCGCGCGTGCAGGAAAGAGAGAGAAAGAGAAAAAAAGAGATAGATCACTGGATATCTTTTTGACGTTACAAAAATCAAATCCCTCCTCCCTGCATACAAGATTGTAATTCGTTTTTAAGTCTAGATGTATAACCGGAGGGCTCGTCGATGACAAGAAGTTAAGCCTGTTTGCGCGTTTGGTATTACACGCGAGTGCGAGTTGCGTCGTGCGGATCGTGTCTCGCAAGAATGCATAGGGGTAGATGAGACCCGAGGAGAGAGTATTTTTCATATACAAGCATATAATAATATTTTGAAGGTATCTCTTCCTCATCTCCATCTAGATCTCCGATACACGACGGAGGCTCGGTCCTTCAGCTCCGAAAGTCGAGAACGAACGTCGAGATTATCGGCGGATTCTTCCACGCGTCGGATTCCGAGGACCTCCAGGAGTTCATCTAAGACCCTGTGGATGCGCCGTACGCGCGTCATCGTCAAGCGCCTAGTTCTAGCTCCCGTATTACAGCATATCATCATTACGCGTGAAGCGAATTTTATCGATAAACTAGGATAGCGTTATCTCCGTTTTATGGACTCTTCGCTAATTACTGTCCTCACTGATCCCACAAATTCCTCCAACCGGTGAACTCGACTTCACCGGATACATTCGTCGTTCCCTCCACCTCGAATTGTCAAGGTCGAAGCTGTGTTCCGCACCGAGACCAGGGATAAACCACGGAAGTCGACTCGTTATGTGCAAAAGCATTCAATGTGTCTCCCATGAACGTTACATCTATTTTAAAATGCGTACTAATTGCATACGTGATCTACGGAGATCACTCGTGTTATTTTTCTCGAAAAAGCTCCTTCGGTGTCCGAAAACGATTTCGGAAAAGCGCAATCGCTACACTTTTTATGAAATACGCGAGTATCGCATGCCTCTTAGTTTTCATAGGAATCTTATGCTCTTAACGATCACAGTACAGGATTGCGGAATTTCTGAACCATCCGAATGCATCGTGCAGTTATCTCAGCAATGTAAAACAGATGTAACGAGTCTCGTGCTTGACTTCTCTGTGTGGAGCTCGCAGAAAGCTCTCCATGTTTTAATCGCATTGTAACATAGCATGATAGAAAGATACATCAGTAAACCTAGAGACTAATTTTTCAAATCCTTCGATAAAACTACAGGATGTTCCGAGGAGAATGCGTACGTCGATAGCAAATGTCCGTGCTCCTTTGGAGAAACTTCGAAGCGGATTTCTCTCTGATTACGTAAATTTTTAACAAGTCGTGAATTAAATTCTGCAAATCGGCACCTGCGCTCCGATACTGTTTAGAATGATTATAATTTCCGCCTTTGATTATATAGTTCCGCTCTGGAAAATCCCTCTCGATAGTTCTTCCAGGACAGCTTTTTGCTATCTGCGTGCACTGCACCCTACGGAATATATATAAATCATAGATATTCTAGATATTATAATAAGAGAATCGTTCAAAACTTTATTCGTTAGAATTAAAATAATTAGAGACATACAAATCACCCTTCTAATTACGGACCGTTGAGTTTAATGATCGTCGATCTTGTTGATGGTTTAATCTTGTTAGTGCAACTATAGAAATTGTAATAGACTGCTTTGACCATTTCCATTGGTATGACAGATCGCTAAAAATTTTCTACGTATTTCGTTAAGATTAAACAAATTCGATTGTACATTTTCCAAAGATGTCAATTTGTTATACGAATCGATAACTGCTTCGCAACGATTTAGATAAATAATTGTTAAATGTTATTTGTATAAATCGCTGATCGCGCGGTTGTTTCATTATGGACAGTTTCGTCAGATCGTATAGCTTAGGATAGCTCCTGAATTTTGGATGTACTGTAGCTCGATGAAATCGATGATTTTCTTTACGAACTACTATAAAAATTGTATAATGCATCTACTTACTTACTGAAATAATTGTGTAACCATTACACATGTAACAAAAATCCAATGTTGTCAATAAAAGTAAAATATTATATATACAAGAGTGATGTGATCCATTCAAATTGCGTCGATTGGGGTTTGTATAATTTCGTAAAAAGATCTTTGAGGTAGAGTTTTTCATGATATGTATTTTATTCGTAAAATGAATTCAATATAAAAATTACAAAAGGGCTCAATTATCGATATTATATTTAAAAAATTATTCGAACAATGTATATTTAATAATATCAAAGAGACATCTGGACGGACATAAAAAATTCTTTTTCAACGACGTCTCTTGCTATAATTTATACATATATATTTCCATTTCATAAAAATTCCTTAGGAATTGCACTAATTTTCGAAAAAGACACGTACGAGTCTATATTAATAAAAAATATATTAGTACAAATACGTAGTAAATGGACGGATATAATTATTTAACTTACATGACTAATATTGTGTATACGCAATATTGTGTCTATATATGAAATGTGTGTCACAGAGAAAAAGCAGTTATAAATAGTTTGAAAGTTATTTACGTTCAATTTACGTTTACAGCAAAAGTACTAATCGGCAATTTCATTTATACATTTTTTAAATGAAAGAGCTGTGCGATACGAGTATATTTTCGAGACGGTGATATCTGTTTTCACGCCATGGAGAGAGATAGTTTTCTGGAATACGCTTTGCCTTCCCATTCTTGATCAGATGGCAATGGCTCGTGTCGTAATTTGCAGAGACGTGCGCCATACTTCAGCATCACGATTATAATGCAAACTACGAAGAGAGTCAGGCAGGCCGTGGCAGGCCAGAAAACGTGCAAGCCCATGATAAGATATTTTTATACTGTCTGAGATCACAGTCTATCTGCAACTAGTGTCGTGTACAGTTATTGAAATAACTTGCGAAGCAAGTGGCTGTGGTGTCTCAATTTTTTAATTATATTGATTTTATAAAAAAATAAAAATTATTCTTTTAATATATGTAAAAGCAGGTCAATACATCTATGAAAACAATGTTGGTGGTGAAAGTTTCAGTGTATAGTAGCTAAGGCACAGGCTTTACAATGCAATTAACTGGGTGCAAAGGGCTAATTAGACTCTATTAGATTCAATTAAACTCTTTGACTTTGAACGTATTCTTAAGCGTAGGTGTTACTACTACTGTTTTCCAACACTGTTTTCTCCAGTTGGTGCTGCCAGCTACTTTAGATCTCACTCTCGCGTTTTTGCATCTCCATGTACTCCTGAGGCTGTGGCGTGGTACCCTGAGACTCCGGATCGTGATACTGAATAATCTCGTGCCTCACTTGAGGATACTTGATGAGACCAGGTTCTAACTCGCTAAGATCAAGAGGTGGTGTTTTATGCGGCAATACAGTCCATAGAGGCTGGATCCACCTATTGCCTAAATCCCAACAGGATAATATGCTATTAAAAAATAAGAGAAAAACTATATCAGTCGCGCGCGCCCGTAAAAAGAAGCTATGTGACGTGTACTTTTACGTACAGACTGAAAAAATCTAACTCACCGGAGTTGCGATCTTGCCAATATTCACGGTGTCGCGAACACCAACAGAACACGATGTTCAAGACAAATAGAAATACGCCTAGGACGGTGCAAAGAGCGATTGTGACATAGAATGCAGTGAAGTCGCCGTACAAGTGCTCCTTAAAATACGGATTCTTCAAGTATTCGTCGCGGTCGTCTAGAATAGACATGTCACAACGTTAACGGCCACGTTACTCGCTTATTTTCTGAAAAAAAAGGAAAGAGGGAAGTTCTATGAGTGCAATAAGAATGTCGCAAGCTATCAGGCGTGGCTTGGCGCGACGTGCTACATAGGATGTGTACACACAACTTTGTGTACACCGATTGATGAATCGCGTAACTATCGTTATCGGTAATCTTTACTACAGCACGCAAGTACGCGCAGGCAGGTAAAAATAGATACTGATTTAGGTCAAAAGCAGGTGTGTATACGTGCTTACGTATAAATTCCACGGGTCACGCGCGTCCTATTCACGGCTTAGGCATACCTCAATGGCGGTTCTTTTTTTTCTCCTCTCTTCGTGCCCTCGATACCAATTCCACTTGGCGGTAAAGCGCTACCCTGGAAGTTGGGCGATAAGAAAAGGAGCAGGTGGTTGGACCAACTCCACACTCCACATCGAACGTACGCTGGAATGTTTGAACGGTGTTAGATCACTCGTATTGGGCGGGGCATTTTGTTCAGTGGGGGATTATTTGTGACTTGCGTACTACTTCAACCCGTCATTCAATTACGCGTGTCGGTAAGTTAGAGGTTGATAAATTAAAAAATTAACTATACCGACTGAGGTGGTAAGTAAAAAAGCGGAAATCAACGGACGGTAATAGTCGATCTTACTGTTATCAATGTGCCATGTTGACACATTGATTGAAATATAAATTTATGTAAATAAGTAATTTATTATAAAAAATGAGAATAATTTTTAAGATAACGTACAAGGTGACAGTAAATTCAACATATTCCAGTTACGACGAACGTTCTCGAGTAGCCACGATGCACATATTTTCTAACGAGACATCAGTGGAAATATAGTAAAGCAGCTCAGCTTGAAATCCAACGCTCTTCAAAAAGGCCAAACGACCCCAATTCAGCAATGTTTTAGCTTTGCGCCCGATAACTTCACGTTCGTCTGATTTCGAGGAAATTCTGCTAGCGGTGTCTGATGTTGCATCACTTGGTGAGTTAACGTCGCTCTTTAAACGACAGCCACAAGTCGCCCAACTGACTATGCTGCATAGAATAGGAAACTCGTCCGCGGTAAAGTCACATTGTTGCAAGTACTTCCTGCCCACGTACGACGAGTACTCGCACTTATGATGGCAACAAAACGCGACGATTAGACCGCGCACGTCGACCTTGGGTTCGTTGTTCATCGACTTTACTAAACAACGTATTGCCAAGTCTGAAATATCATATATCGTCGATTATAATATAAAACAAAAATGAAACATTGTCAACAGTGACAAAATGAGTGTACCAGTGGCTGTTCCGCAGAGATGCTTTGCTATGCCGACCTTGTATTTGATCGGCTGGATCTCCGAGATTTGATTCAGCTGCAGATCAGCAATGTCGGCGCGTATCCTTTTCACTGCGAGGCGGCTTTCCTCTCTCTTAAGCTTATTGTCGCTTTTGTGCCGATGACTAGAACGGTCGACTAGTAAGATGCAAGAGTTTGACTTATCCTTTATAATCTGCCCCAACCAATATGTTAACTGAGCTGTTTAAAGTACGACTTCATTTAGTACATTGTATAGGGTGACTTATTTAAAACAATAACGAATTGTTCGACAGATAGATACGAATTTGTTCGTTAAAATAAAAAAATTAAGAGAATCAGCAAATGCCGTTATAATTGAAATGTACCTTTTCCAGCTCCAAATTCGATGAAACAAGTGTCGTCTTGCACAAGACCAGCTTGCTCCAGATGCCCCAGCAGAGATGCATTTTGGAGCAAGTGCTTTCTAACTTTACTGCCGCTGGTTTCATCGTTTAATTTTTCTTTGAGCACGTTGTGCCTTAGAATCGTTTGGGAAAAATCTGGTAGCTCATCTAAACGGGACACAACATATATAAGACATGAAAAAGAAATTAATTTTTTAATCAAATTAAATTATACTTCACAGGGTTGTGTCATATATTTTAAAATTACGTTTACATGAAATATTTACATATTTACATTAAGTTCACATGAATTTTCTTTATATAAGTAATACAGGGTTGGATAGTAACTAGTTGAAACGTTAAAAGTTAAAAAAAAAGTTAAAAAGTTAATAACTTTTAACTGAACTTAGTTAATTTTAAATACATTAATTTTTAACTTATAATTTAGTTACTTTTAAACTTTAATTTATTAACTTTTTTTAAATTGAAAATTTTTCTATCTTTCTTAATGCTAATAGTTTTTTTCTATAAAGTCTTAAACGTTAGAGAATTAATTTAGAAAAAGTTCAATAATTTTATGATGAGAGACTCTATAATAAGAGTCACATCATATGGTAGCCAGTTTTTATTGACTCGCTAGATTTTGTCAATTCCCGTTTATATTTGAATCACACTAATTTTAGGTATCACAAACGTTTTATTTCAGTAAAATAAATATGAAATGAACCTTAGATAAAGAATTGTTGTAGAACAGAGTTGCACAGCGACCCATTTTCTAAATTTTTACGTTTATTTTTTGTAATAAATATCTAGTTGATGTAGTTGTAAACATGCATGAACAGCTGTTTCAGAAGTTAAAGAAAGTTAGATAAAGGTTAAAGAAAGAGAAATAATGCAAACATATACCCTTCTCTCGCAAGATTTTGACAAAAACACCTTATGGTGTGACTCTTATTATATAATATATAAGTAACTTACACGTGGATATAAAATTAAATTTGCCTAATCTATATTTGTAAGGGTTATTTAAAGTAATCTCATTTTAAGAAAAATTCGGACATTCTGATCTCAAAAAATAAATTTTTTCAAAATTAACTTTTTTTTAAACTTAAGTTAATTTAATCTTAACTTAACTTTTATCAAGTTAATTCGTTATTCCTTCAATTTTCAAATTAATTTTATTAACTTTAACTTAATTTAGTTTAAAAAAAACATTAACGTACCTAATCCTGAAGTAATATAAGAAATGTAAATTATTATTGAAAAAATTAAGTTTTGCGACTATTAATATATCTGACTCTAATATTGACAAATGAAAATATATAAATGAGATGAAAGTTTTTGGCAATAACAAAGAACATAAATTGTCCTTTGTCATAAATTATTTATATAGAAGATATATAATACAGTGTACATAGGTTACTTTGTACATACATGTAGATGTAGATTACTACATTTTACGTGTAAACACAACCCTGAGGCCTGAATGCAGATGATTTAATCATACCGTAGGCAGCATGAATCTTCCTTATCATCATTCTTATGACGGATTCGTCGAGCTGCGACAGTGGCACACGCGGCGGCGCCGCGATAGTCTCATCATCCAGGTTTGTTCCTTCAACCACGAATGCTGGTTGCGCGTCCAGCCTTCGCTTGATGTTGCACACGCCCAAGTGCTTCGTCAGCTTGGATCTGTAGCATGTACTGGAAGGAGACAAATGTCATGATACCACGCTAGAATACACCGAATTTAATGAATACTTGCTGTGTGGGATCCAGCGGACATGGTACTCTCTCATTCCCAGTGTCGGAGCCAGCAATGTCCTGTTGATGCTCACCACAGTACTGATGACCTTTCCGCACTGTCATGCGGCAGAATCGCTTCTTGCGCTCAACAAAGTGCATGCAGTGATTGCTGTTCATCATATTCTCACAAAAAAATTCTTAGATATTTTTCTACTTAGGAGAAGAGATTTTGTTACGTTATATTCCACTGGGATAGTGGATTTACGCCTTCAACTTTTCCGTGAGATTATATGAGCCTTGTTTCACCTTGTTTAATAATCTGCCCATCTTCTTCATTATATATTGTTGGAATATTTCTCCACCTTTGTACTTTGATCAGATCAATATATTCTCCCAAAACTCCGCTTGGAAGAAGTCGTCGCAGGTTAGGATTATCAGCCTAGCGAGAAGGGACGTATAATTCGATAACTATACTTATTCGCTGCTAGATGACGCCTCTGTTCAATTTTTCCGCAAATAAATCAGGATTAGTTTCGCCAGCGTTCCTAACGAGGACGTTGCAAGCACGATTAAGCAACTCGCGTCTCGGATTCGTGGATTTCAATCGCAAGCCCACGATAATCGAATGCCGTGTGTGTGTGTGTGTAATCTCACTCAGAGTAACGAAAAAATAAAATAAATAACGATTATTGTAATCGCGAGATTGCTTTGAGACTCCGTCTTGAATGCAAAATAAAAAATTGAAAAACTGATTCTCTCAAGCGTGGATCGAGTCGAGGCTGCAAATTTAGCCATGCCAAATCTTATAGATCTTCTCTCCTCGGGGTGGCGGGGTTCATCGGTTTTCCTTTACAAATTTTTCCCCGAATCCTCTCGAACAATATTTTCGAATTACTCTGGTATATTTATCGTTCACCGCCGGAGAGACTGGGAGAGACCCGCGAGAGCGCGGGTAATTCGCTAATGTAGAGCTTACCCCGATACCAACCCATCTCAAAGTTCACCTTTTGCCTCCCCTCATCTTTCTGCCTCCAGCCCGTCCGACCCCTCGCTCGTCCTTCGTAATTCCCTTTTCTCGTAGCTCGTTCTCTCTATCCCCCCACAACTTTTCCCCGGTCGGCCTCTCTGGCTGCCTCCGCGCTCGCGGCGTTATCTATCCTCTTGAAGCGAGCTATTACCCGATTGTTTCTTAAATAAAATATCATCGGAGTCCCGTCGCCAACCACTCACAATAATAATTGCCTCGCCAGTGTGTCAACCGATCCACCCTCGCGCGCGCAACCCCTCATCTGTCTCACCGCCACGCCGGATCCTTCCCCCCCCCTCTCTCTCTCTCTCATTCTCCCCTACTATCCTCTTTCTTTTTATTTTTTCCACCCCACCGTCCGTCACGCGGATGTGCCTGTACCTGAGGAGGAAATTTGACGCTCTTGTACAACTCGCGTAATGTCATCATGTAATGACGTGATATCGCGCGTCGCTCGCTCATTAACGCGTTTAACCGACGGGACGCACGTCAGTGTATAAATCTATTCTTTAAACCTGTTGCTTTTGCAAATAGTTCATTATCGGCGATTCCGCGATGTAGATGCTTCGAAAGAATCTCAGAACCATGACGTTAACGGTGAAATTATTCTTATTCGTTTCCTAATTACCGACGGGGCGGCGGAATTCGGATTTTGAAAAAAACTTTACATCGGATTAAAGGTTAGATGTTATACCCGAAATACTCACAGGTCTCACGCTCGAAACACGTACACCCGTATTTCACAGCCGCAAGCGCTAACGATCCCCTTTTTGTCTCCCCGGCAATGTTCCGCAAGCGGAGCATAGCGCGATGTTAACAAGCAGAAGGGATTAAGGAGTAGATGGACAAGTGGTTCGCGTCATCATCAACGGAATTCCGAGGCGTCTGATAAAGCACAGGGTGCTGTGTTTATTCGCTGTGAAGAAGTACCGTTGATCGCCTCCTTTGTTATTTATTTGCTGATCTTCGTTTCGCGTTTCGAGATTAGGAAAATTGTCTTGAATGGATAAAAGCCTAGCTCAG